TTTCCCTACTGTATGTTCACTAATCCCTTTGAACGAAAATGATCTTTGTGCACATGCTATCGTGGATGAATTATCCGCGATGCGCGTTGCAACTTTGAAGCACTAATTCGCCTCGCGGTCGAAAGCAAACTACAAGTTCTTGTCTTTCAATAACGTTTATTCTCCGTTGTATATGTACTTCAGATACGTTGTACGTATACCGTACAGTTGGTCCGAAAGATACGCATAATGAAAGTAACGCTGTCGGGTATCATCGACAATGGTGTACAAAGAATTAGGAGTTCTTTTAAACGTTTGCGGTAAATCGGAAGCGAGTACGAGTAGTCGATGAACCGAAATTCAAAGGTAATCAATGAGTTTTCCCATTTTACTGCTTTAAAGCTAGTCATTAAATACCTACAGTTGAAAACTGTAAACGGCCCCGATTGACGGCTGTTTGCCATGCTATCATTTCGGCATCAATCGGGACCGCTTCTTAATACGATAATTTACAAGCGCGTTATATCATTTCAACACCATACATTGCATAGTCAAAGACGGTCCCGATCGATGTCGTCGACAAGCAAAGATATCCGCGATTCGTACTTTTATTTCCCGCCAAGTAGTCGAACGGAAAAATATCGTTCATCGATTTTCCATTTCGACTCGATTACCATTTGTTAGCTATATCTACATATATCTATCGTTGCTAAATTTTATTCCAACTGTTCGCAAAACCAGTGTCAGGCTGCATACGCGATTACTCTATATTACGATCGTGGATATGGGTACCTTACTCCTTTAAAGAAACGTAACTCAAAAGAAAAAAGAGGAACACGAAATAATAATCAATTATTCTTTCATTTCACTCCGTTTCGATGTGTTTCTTTCGCATCCTTTGTCACGCAGAAGACTCGAAAATGCAATCGTCTTAGCTAATAATGATAATCAGTAGCCAATCGAACACACTATCTTTTCGTCTCTGAGTTAGAGGTATGACTAACGATGAAATTATCGATAAATATCGACAATATCGGAGTGCTGTTAAATACGAGCAATCGAGGTTGATTGCAACCTATCGATTGTTATGAAATTATTCAAAATAAGACATAATTTTTGTACAATTTTATCGTAACCGACGCATTGCATTTCCCTCGGTCACTCTTATTCGCTTTAACCATAATATAACGATAAGTTATCGATAATCGGTAGATACGTCTCTACTGCGAGTAGTATTTTTGCATTCGACCGATTTTATCACCCTTCTGCATGTATTGTCCGAATCAAGTATACCTACAACGTATACCGTACACCATAAACCGTACACCATACACTGTAAGTACACCGTACACCGTTGCATCTCGTACATGGACAACAGAAAAATTTCGTCGATCGACCCAATCGATCGAATCGATCGGATCGATCGGATCGATCGGATCGATCGGATCGATCGGATGAAGATTGAAAAGAAGAAAAGGATAATAGCATCGTGTTCGATCGAAGCCGATGCGATCGTGTTGCTACTACTCGATTCGTTCGTTGCCTCTTGCCAATACTTACGAGCGTTTTCGTTGACATTTTTGTTTATACGGCTATATTCCGACTGGTACTGAGCATACAACACTGACTGACTAGTCCCATGCCACCGAGTTAACTTATAAATCTGAAGCAATTCACCCCTGACCTCTGCTTGATCAAAGTATGGTCACGTGTGTGATGTTCGATACACGTTATCTCGATCCCCCACATTCGCATGCGTTTCTAAACATGCAAACGCACGAGATAAAAAAATATCGTGGAATTTAACAATTTGCCAGTAATGTACGGTCGGTTACGGAGACCCATCGTATCGATAGACCTTTCCACGTTTCCGTCCAATCAATTCATCCTTTGCTCTTCCCACTCGTACGACTGACCGATCTCCTCTCTTTGTCTCTCGAATAATATTTTCGTTTCCTCCTCCCTTTTATCGCCATTCCCATTGTCGTCCCTCTACGGAAAGTTTTTAACCTTGTCCATGGATCATTCCTATTCCACTAATACATATTCCACCAACGCGCATCAACCACTTTTTATTCCTTCGCAACTTTCTCTCTCGCTCCCTCCTCTCAACCCTCTCTTTCACTCTCCTCGTTAATACATTTTTATAAAGGAAACGTTATTTTATACGGAAATAAATACGTATCTTGTGATTTCAACCAATCAGTTATATAAGTAACAAAGGACATAATTGAACGTAATCGCGTTAAAAATAACGAACAAAAATATTGCGCGCGCTCATGAATGACATTCTTTATGCGAGGAAAAAAATACTTCGGTCTGTACCGGGAACAGTATGAAAAAGTGACGTGTAACGGTATTTTTCTATTGGCCAATGAAAAGCCAGTCTATTTCATTAATGATCGAGTCTTCCTCGGATCTTCAAACAAATAAGAGAAAGGGAAGAGGCATAATATATAACGGTTAGGAAGGTAAAGATATTTTATTTCCTGCAAACCTTGTGTTATCCTTGTCTCGGTCTTATCTCGATCCATCAATCGTACTCGTGAACTTGCTTATTGTTCGTATTGGTAAAATCGTTCGTTATCGTCCTCGTATTTCTCATCCTGTTCACACGATAAATTCAGTAACGAATGCTTATGTCCCAATCGATCGTTACTACGATCATGTAGCACAGTTACACAGGTTAAAACAGGTGTTTGTTCATGTTTCTTCGCGGTTTCCGAGCGCACGTGCCTTCTACGTAGTTCAAATAACGCGTTCTCGATTTATTAAACTCAATTAGGCGACAATTGATTTGGCGCAGAAAGGAATAAACCCTCGGGGCAATTTATATTCGATCGGTGTTAAATGCATAACGCATCGATGCTATTTTCATACCATGAATTACCGAAGAACTACTGGCTTACTTATTGAAATGATAGAAACGTTCGACGAATGTGTAGGGA